TCCCAATTACCAATGGCGTAAAGCAAAAATTTGTGCTTGCTTTTCTGATTTTTAAAATGATGTTTTCAATGATGTTTTTGGATGCCTTCAATAAGGTTGAAAACAGCATCAAAGTCAGCTATCACACTGATGATAAATTATTTAACTTGAAAGGGCTACAAGCCAAGCCTAAAGTAGAGGAAGAGTTGGTATGTTTTTCTTCACATATGATTGTCACTCAATACCACCTCTGAGGCTAAGACACAGCAGAGTATGGATTTATTGCCACTTGTCCTAGTTTTGGCTCACAGAGGTTTTCTACTAGCTGGTAATACACCATCCATTTGAAGAACCATGGGTTATAGCAAATGGAGAAATTTGGAATGCTGTGGATGAGTTCACTTATCTTAGCAGTGTACATTCTATCAAGGTTCAGGTTGATGCATGCATTGCCAGAGCTACCTCAGTGTTTGGGAGACTCTGAAGGAAAGTGTGAGAGAGAAGAGGTATTAGGCTGCCTACCAACTGAAAGTCTATACTGACCTCATTGTTATATACCTATGAAAACTGGGCAGTATACCAGTGCCATGCCAAGAAACTGAATCACTTCCATTTGAATTGTTTTAGAAAGATTCTGAAGACCAACTGGCAAGATATGGTATCAAACACTGAGGTACTTTCTCAAGCTGAACTGCCAAACATTCAAACTCTCCTTCAGAGAGCACAAGTCCAATGTGCTAGCCACCACATTGTTCAAATGCCAAAACTGCATCTGCCTAACAGACTATTTTACTGAGAACTCACACAAGGCAAGCTCTTACATGGAGGTCCTTTTGGTCCTTTATGAGCATAAAGGACAATAACCAGAGGGCCCAGAAGTGAAAGTTGAGCACCCACAGTTGGCGAATGTCATATGTATGATGATCCAAAAAATGATTAGTCAGGAAGATGTGAACAAGAAGAAGCTGTGTGATGAAAATCCAGAGAAGAAAGGCTATTTAGCAGCACAAGGTGTTCAAAAGTAACAAATGTTTAAGAGAAGTCAGTAAGGATGAGAACTAAAGAAAAAGGCATCAGATTTGGCCATTATTTTAGAGAGAGAAGTTCTTACTGAAAGATGTTTTAGAATTTAGATTGCAAAGATGTGAGAGGAGGGGAAGGAGCAATGATTTTAGACACTTTTCTACAAGTCTGACTGAGAAAAGGCAGAGAGAGATTGTGTGCAAGATAGAAGGGATTTCTAGGGTCTGGAGAGGGATTTGTTATTTTTTGGAGGAAGATAGGAGTGACTTGGATATGTCTCTAGATAGCAGGCAAGGAGCCAATAGATAGGAAGAAAAAGAAGGGAAAAAAGAGGGATGATTTAAAGGAAATGTCTAGAAATTAGATTAAGGTTACATGTGGAGGAGCTGATTTTGGAATGGAAAAGATGTCACAATTTCATCTGAGACTGCAATAAAAAAGTAGAGAGGGGAGAATGATAGTTATTCCAGAAAGAAGAGAAGAATAGGAAATTTGGTGAGAATGACCTCAGCCTAGTATGAAATAAAGTCCACAGATATGAGGTAGGAGGGGTGATGAGAAACCCTAAGGAGAGGAAAAATAAAGGTTTTAAACAGCAACTGCAGAGAATGGAGTAGACAATCAATTAGGAAGGAATAAAATAATCTTCTAATTGACATTAAATAAATTGAATTTGTAACTAAACCAGTCAACACAATGTTATGAATTGTTTCAGATCTCTTCAGTCACCTGTGAGTAGAAGTGGAGGAAGCAGATGTTCAGAGTGATTCTGGGGCAAGGTGTGAGCAGCAATAGGTCAAGGGAGCAAAATGGTCTTTCCACAATTACTTGTTTATTCCAATCTCCCACTCTCATTTCTCAACCTTGATCTCCCTATGGCTTTTTGACCCTGGACCTTTATGAATCTTCTCAATACCATCTCCAGTGGCAAATGAAAAGTCAAAGAGACAGAGTTTCTGGGTAATTAATAATCAATTTGTTAATTAGGTTAGAAAATAATCTATAAATTTATGGTTAGTAGTCTCTCTCTCTGCAACCAAAGCCAAAACAATGAAGATCATCAAATGCTTAAACATCTTTAGAAAAGTAGGTGGCTCTGACAGGCAGTCATCAACCCTAACTGGTGAACAATCAGTGAGGGGGTGTATATATTAATAAGGAGGTGGGCTAAAAGTCTTCAGCTACTCCTGCTGGGAATGTGACTTGATTTTGACACTCTGTAGCCTCTGGCACTCTGGACAAAAGAATCTGCATGTGTGGGGAGGCTGGGAGAGCCAGGCTGGGATGGGGGTGAGGGGGAGGTGTTCAAAGGCATCAGCCTAATGCTTTCATGGCTGGAATTAATCTAGATTAGATTCTATTTTCACTTCAAGCAAAAGTTGGGTGTAGTTCCACCCAAGACTGAGGATAATGTTCCCAGAGGATCTGGCCAATCTCACCACCCTTGTCCCGTGGAGATTGACTAATCTACAAGGATTGGCCCCTAAATGAGGAAATAGAAAGGAAAAAACCTCAATCTTAATTTAATAGTTGGTTATAATAGAAAATTATAATTTCTCTCATTCCTCTATTAGCTTTTGTTACATTGCTACCTTCTTGTTCTCTTTCCATGCGATCTCTCTGTATCATCATGTTATATCATTATTCATAACCTACCACATAACCTTAGTTGTACCACAAGGATCCTTCCTCTGCTCTGTTCTCTCTCTACACACTCTAAGCATTTCATCAGAACCTTTGTGTTCGGTAGTGTGTTGATGATGGCGGCCAGATCCACATATGCAATCATAATCGCCTTTTAATCTCTCCTTATTGTATATTACCAACTGTTAGAAATTTCCAACTGAAAGCCCCACAGGAATCTCAAAAAATTTGCTCTCGCAACTCTTCCTTCCTCTAAATTTTCCTTTTGGGGTAGAGAGCCTAGCCATCACTTAAGACATTTAGGTTTGCAACACTGGTTTGCATATTTCTTCATGCATACCCACTATATTAAATTGATTGTACCAAAAGACACATGATGAAAAATGCTATCCACATCCAGAAAATGAACTATGGAGTCTGACTGCAGATCAAAGCACACTATTTGCTCTCTCTCTCTCTTTCTCTCTCTCTCTCTCTCTCTCTCTCTCTCTCTCTCTCTCTCTCTCTCTCTCTCTCCCTTTTTGTTTCTTCTTTCTTGTGATTCCTCCCACTGGTTCTAATTCTTCTTTACAAGATGACTAATGTGAAAATGTTTAATATGAATGTATATGTAGAGCCTATATCAGATTGCATGTCATCTTGCGGTAGGGGAAGTAGAGGGAGAGGGAGAAAATTTGAAACTTGAAATCTTATGGAAGGAATGTTGAAAACTAAAATCAAGTTGATTACAGTTCAAAAATAAATAAATAAGGGCAGCTAGATGGCACAGTGAATAGGGTACTGGCCCTGGAGTCAGGACGATCTGAGTTCAAATCTGACCTCAGACACATAACACTTACTAGCTGTGTGACCCTGGGCAAGTCACTTAACCAACCTCATTGCCCAGCCAAAAAAATTAAAATAAAATAAAATAAGTAAACATAAATAAATTTGCATTCTTGAAGAGTATGCCTCTAAAATATATTTCTCTTCTGTCTCCTTTTCTCCACTCACATATCCACCGGCCTAATTCAGACCATCATCACCTTTCACTTGGTCTACTTGGACTCCTGGCGTCCAGTCTGTCTTCTCTCTAATCTATTCTCCACATGTTTTTTGAAATAATCTTCCTAAAGTACAAATCTAGTAATGTCTCTCCCCAGATCATAAAGCTTTGGTGGTTTCCTACTGCCTTTATGGTAAAATGAAAACTCTTCACCTTGGTATTTAAAGTCATTGACAATCTATCTCCAGCCAACCAGCTGTAATTTACACTACGTGAAAGATCATTAATTCAGAATTCAACCCCAGATGTCATTTATAGTTCAAACATTTCATTCTACAGGTAAGGAACATATGAAATCTAGTGATTTTAGGTGACTTGCATGAGGTCTCAAAAGCAGGAAGTTGCAGAGCCCATATTTGAACTGAGGTCCTCTTTCTCCAAAGACCATTCTTATTCTCTTTTATCAGGTTAAAATTTTTTCTACTCTCTATAAGTTAGCCAAACTGACCTACTTTCTGGTTCTTGATGACAGTATTTCTTGTTCTGTCTCCCTCCTCTGGTCTACCCCCTAGCTTTCCTCAAGGCTATATCCCAGCTAATACCAGATGTCTCGTAGTTTTCCTACTTATTAGGCTTGCATTACTTAACAAATCTATTTACTTTGAATTATACACGCACACACACACACACACACACACACACACACACACAGGCATGCACGAATGTAAATTCCTTGAGAATATGGACTTTTTTGGCTTATCTCTATATTTCTAGGATCTAACACGGAATAGTCAGGTGGTGGCAGTGGCTTAAGTCAGGAAGACAGACCCAAATTCAATTCCAGCCTTAGATGCTTATCCATATAGGTCTGGGAATATTATTTAACTCAGCTCCTGGGATCATCATCTCTAAAATGGTGACAATACAATCACCTATCTCACAGGTAAGTGTTGTGAGAACTAAATGAGATAACATAGATAGAGTGCTTTGCAAAATGTAAAGCCCTATATAAATGTTACCCATTATTATTGAGTGCTTAATAAATGATTGTTGTAATGGGATGGGATGGAATGGAAGTTACCAGATGATCCACAGAGATAGATCCCCTGCCTTCCATCCAACTCTGACTCTTTGTCCTCACCCCAATGATACTTTTGACCTTTTATACCAAATACCAGAATTCCAAGTGATAGCTCTGGCTGGCTATTGCTTTGAGTCCAAAAGACTATAAAGTTTCATTAGGGGACAGTGAGACTCACTGTGGAAGGGAGAATAGTGTGCAATGTTTATGGGCTCCTGCAAATCCTTTTGTGCTATTTTGCATTTATTGTGGGTATGATAAAGACTATCCAATGCATTCTGTTCTTAGTCTGCGTGCTTGCGTGACAGCTGCTGCCTTTTCGTCTACTTCTGTTGAAATCTGAGCATGAGCAAAATTCTCATATTCCTAGAGGAGTCTGCCTGGAGATTAAACAAGCTAAAAAGAATGACTGTGAGCTCCACCCTATCCCCACCCCAGACTGAATCTGCTGTGTCAACCCAGTGAAGTTCTGGGCCCCAGATTTCATATGCAAGTAAGTAAAAATGTCTTCAAGTTTCCTCATCCATAGAAGAGAGATGATAACTGTAACCCAGTTAGTATAGAGAATGTAAACAAACATTATCTCTTTAATGTTAAGATAATAGTGTGAACCATCTGACAGATATCCCCAAATCCCACCTATTAATTACATGTCATTATCTGTATCACATGAAACTAATTAATAAACCAATAAAATAATTCACATTTATGTAACATTTTTTTAAAGTTTCAAAGTTCTTTACTGAATCCTCATAACCAAGTAAGCTAGGTGGTCCAATTACTACTATACTCATGATACAGATGAAGAAATTGAGTTTCTGAGAAATCAAGAGACTGGCCATGGTCACACAATTACAAGTAATTGATACAGAATTTAAACCCTTCTGATCTCTTTTAATTTTGAGTCTATATTTCCATCACTATGTCATGTTGCAAACAAATATAAAATAAATTAGAAATATACCTTTATTTTAATTAAGATGAAGGGGTGTGGTATTTAATCTAGTCTTAATGACCATGAGGCAGTAGCACTCAGAGGGGGGTGTATCACAATTCTATTTTCAGTTCTTCTTTGTAAGATTTATGTTGAGAGACATTGAGAATTCAAGCTTAGACCTCTTTCAAAAATCACATTTCTCAGCTATCTCCTTATTTCCTTCATATGTATATAGATTTACCTAGCATTAACAGGTCGTGGAGAATTTATTCCCTGTTTAAAGCAGACAAGAATTTATATGTCTTCCTTAATTTCACCACCACTCTATAACTTAGTATAAATTACTTCTAATTCAGCCCATTTATGGCTGGCTTCTTAGATGTATCACCTTCCTCTTTTGTTCACATCATCAATTTTCACTAATAAATTTCTTCTGTGTTGTCCAAATCATTGTAGGTATTCACTCTTTATACTTCAGGCATCACATCTGCAGTAACTCTCTGGAGTATTGATGTAGATATCCACCCACTGAATTACATTTATCGTAGCTTTTGCTTCTAAAGCAGCTCACAGAAGTTACAGCTACTGGCCTTCAATCTTCCAATCAATACTTAGGAAACCATTTTAGTTTTTGGCATCATGCATTTTTTTAACTATTTCCCCACCTCCAACAAGAATTGGAATTAGGTATTTATCTGAATCCATGAAAGGGAGGGGGTTGAATAGAAGTAAATAGTAGGAAGAAGATACGAAATGGACATTTTCTTTAATTATTAAAAGCGTTATCTCAGGTCCAGAACTGTAACAAGAATGAAATGAACAAGGCTTTGTCCCAAAGAACTAACATGCAAAGGAAAAAGATTCTTCCCCTGGAGAAGGCTTGTCTGCAATAAGCATCCTTCTCTGGACTTTCATAGAACTTCCCAGACAAGTGGTACAAATATTGCTTCTGTGAAACCTTTTTAGATGCCTGTCAATTTGTTTCCTGTCTTTTCAGGACCTCCCTACACTGCAAGGAATGCATGGGTTTCTCTGCGTGAAACTATGCCTATAGTTAGCCTATCCTGTTTGTCATCTCCACATACTAGACTTCATCCAAACTGCTTTTCCCAAGGTAAATATGTGTGTGTGTGTGTGTGTGTGTGTGTGTGTGTGTATAGATATAGATATAGATAGATAGATGACTAGTTCTGTTCTGCTCAGGTTTGTACTTGGTGCTTGAAATCTTTTTTATAGCATAAACGTGCCTCTGACATAGCAAATTCACCTGGGACATTGTGTTTCATCCCATATTCCTCAGTTCAGACTCTTGGCCCTTTAAAGTCCAAGCAAAAAAAGAAAAGTCAAAGTCCATATGATTTTCTTCAGATATTAAACCATTTGGCTTTATATCTATTCTTCCTAAGTTTAAAGAAAATTCACCAAATTCTACGTTTTAGAACTGTTAGCTCTTGACTTCCTGATATTTTGCCTACATTGCATTTAAGGCATTCCCAGGCACTAATTGATTTATGTTCCTGCTTTCTCTAATACTGTTTTTATTTTTTAGTTTGTGTTCTCTATGTTGTAGCTCATGAAAAGCAACTATAAGTTCTGTGATGGAGACAAGTTTAAGATATTTAGTTGTTACAAAAATGCCTTCCATAAATATAAAAAATAATCATTGCCACTCATAATAGAGGAGAGAGAAAGAAATATGAAGAGTCTAGAATTTTAAGACAGAGACCTATTTATTAGCTATCTAACCTGACCTATGTCTTTTAGTTAAGTATAAAAGAAGAGTCAAAGTAGATATAAGAATTTAATAAAATAAAAAATACATCTCTATTCCATTTTCAAGTGGCTCAAATTACTAGGATTTTGTTTCCTATATCAAACCTAAATTTGGCTTTTCTATCCACATTTTCTAGTCTTACCCTCAGATGAAACTCTTCCTAACAATAGTCTTCCAAATACCTTCTCAAAATATCACCCCAACCCTGGCAATGCCCCTAAAAATGGTCCCCTGTACAAAGTCTCTCTTTACTCTATATAAAGCATCAGTGATTTTTTTAAGTGATCTTTATATGGCATATGAACTCAACTTGATGAATACAAATCCAGGCTCACTCAGGCCTGCTTCTTTTTGGCCTAACTTAATTCTGCCTATTGCTTTCTTGTAAGAAAAGAGAAACAATGTTATAAATTGGGGAGGGGTGAAGAAAATGAGGGTCTGGGTTCTTTTGTTTTTCTGCTTTTAGAGAAAGGAAATTAGAGATGACTACAATTTTATGAGCTTTGAAAGTGTATGTGAATGAGCTACACGGAAACCATGCCAGCTGTAGCTGCCAGTCAATTCATCATTGAGGCCCTGGGGAGGAATTTGCAATCCGTGGGGCCCAGCCCAGCTGTGGCTGAGATAAGGACTCATCCTGTGGCTACACCACATTTGGGTGTGAACTTGGTACGGTCAGTAACTATATAGAAACTGAATTAAGTAAGAACCTATTCCCCCCAGTGAATAAGGTGTAGGACAGCATATGTTGCCCCCTCCCCAGGTATTAGTGGGAAAGACTGGCACTTCTGAATTAGTAATTCTTCATAAAACTTTCTTGATACTAAACAGTTCATTGGAACTGGGGTAGTAATGAGTGACAGCTAACCAGGGTGGGGGACCACTCTGGAATGCGGTGTTAAGCTGACAGCACTAGAGGGCAACATCAACATTTCAGGATTACCCCACCCCCCATGACTTCTGAGGGAGAAATATGACAAATCTTGCTCTGAGAGAGTGGCCTCAGTGTAATTCCAACAAACAAACAGTCCACTTAAACCCCAAGATCTTTTTTTTTTCAGAAAAGTTTCCATTTTATACATATATGGAGTAAAAGCTTTTCACCTAATTATAAAACATTATGTTGATATTTATTCAATTTCATGTATTTCATTTAATCTAATGTTCTAGCCTTTCAAGACCTTTTTGGATTTTAACTCTGTTATCCAGAGTATTAGCTACCTCTCTTAGCTTCACGTCATATGCAAATTAGTGCTATATCTGTTTTCGTGATAGGAATTTTGAAAATGAATACAGCACAAAGGCAATTACAGATCCTTGAGGCACTCCACTGGAGACTTTCTATGAACATGTAGAGTCATTTGGACATAAGGAAGATGAATAAAAACTCTAAGTATTTAAATTAGCAGGTAATGATTCATGTTTTTTTTTCTATATTCCTTGGATTAAGCTGTAGTTAATTTGCATATGACATATAATTCCATTCTATTGAGGTTATGACATATGAGAAGTTTGTTGAAATAACTATTTAGCCATTTTTCTGGTCATGTGATTTGTATTCCTTTATTTTAATCCATAGTCCCCAAATCCAAGATTCATTCTCAGACAGCATTTGATGAACTAACAGTTCATATCCCCAAAATATCTCCTCTCTGTCCCATGTCTTCAATGGGAAACTATGATGAAAGCAGTACCTATGTTCTAATAGTTTTCAATTCATAGCCTTCTTTTAAATACATACATTTCCTGGAACTTTTAACAAATCCATCACATGATAAAAAAAAAGTCTTGCATTTTCACATTTTGTACCATGTGATAGTCTAAAAAATTTGACCAGATGGCTTGAATAATATATTCTGCCTATTTTTCCCTTATATGGGAAAATTTTCCTATTTTACTTTAAAATGGAGAACAGTAATTGGATGATGAAAAATATATGCACTGTTGAAAACTCTTTTTAACACCCCCAAAATAGGCAAACAGAATGGAGCTGGAGAAATTGGATTGTTCTGTATGTCTATAAAGAGAAGTTGAGTGCTAAGCTATTCTTTGATAAATCTATTGTCCTTTTCAACCAACTAATTTTAAAAATAGAATCAGTTTGAACTTAGAAAGAAAAAGTAATACAACTCCTGAGAAGACATTTGGGTTCCCAGAGTTTAACATCAAAAGAGCACATACATTCAACTTAAAAGTCCAACTTATTACCTGGCAGAAAAAAAAATTGAGTCAAGATGATATAACAGAACAAAAATTGGGCAATGCCAGTCTTGCTTCTGTTTCCTAAATGTGCGATTCTGAGCAAGTCTCTGACCCTCACTTTTATCTTCTGTTTAAGATGGATGCTTCGTGTAGCTTCTTCCCAGCCTTGTTGTAAGGAAGTACTCTGGAAATCATAAAAACTCAAGACAACTTTAACTATTATTATTTATTCACCCTATCTTGAAGCAGCTAAACATTTCATATTTTTAAAATACAAGGCTTCATACTGAAAAATACCACTACAATAAACTGGCTTCTCTGGAAGTCCCTGTGGGGCTGCTACAGTGAAATGCGTCACGTTAATCAAGCTCTGCTTATATATTAGTGCCATATAGTGTACTCCCAAAGCAAAAGATTCTGGGGTCTCATAATTTTCTTGAGCAATCTTGTTTTGTGCGTATCTTTGGTTCTGGCAGCAGCTTTAAGTATGTTCCTTTTTCTTTCATTCTTAGTAAGTCTAAAAAGAGTAAATGTTTGGTTGTTTAAAATTTCATGATGAGAATCATTCTTCACAGTTAGGTCAGTAAGACCCCCTAGAATTTCCTATTGAAAAACAAATTTCTCTATGAGATACAGTACCTTGAAATGTGTGTGTGTGTGTGTGTGTGTGTGTGTGTGTGTGTGTATTTAGGCAAAATGCCTAAATAGGGGAGAAAGGTGAGGTGGAGGACACAGAAGAGAAATGAGATCTTCCTTGCAATTATTTCTCAGGCTACTCATGACTACATAGGTTATAGATCATTCCTATTTTCCCTCTAAACTAGAGTTGTAGGCTGGCTTGGCTTGTCTAAGAAAGGCTTAGAGAAACAGAGGTAGAAGCAAAAACACAAAGAGAGACAAGGACAGAAAAAGAAAAACAGAGATGGAAAGAGACATACAGATATAGATGAAGGCATTCAGAAAGAGAGAGATAAAGAAATGGAGAGAAAGAGACATAGAGAGAAAGACAGCAGAGAGAAACAGTGACAGAGACAGAGAGACAGACAGAGAGGTAGAGAAAAAGCTATGTCTTTGACAATAGTGATAAATATCAAGTGTGCAGAGAGAAAAAGCTAAACCTCACAAAAGATTTCATAAAGTTTTTGTGGGGAGGAACAAGGGTTCAAAGGTTTAAAATGGCAGTTTGAAAATACATTTGTTTTAAAGTTGGAAAATAAATCACACATGCATTATTTTTTAACTGTACATTGACCTTCAGCATTCTACCTCATTAAAATTCTCCTGGACATTATTAGTGATTAGGTGAGCCTATGGACAAAATAAATATGATTGTTATACCACAGCTTATCAGAACTGGGTGAGAGGAAGATTATTTGTAAATGATGCTGTATGATCACAGATTTAGAACTAGAAGGGACCTCAGAATCCAGGTAGTTGAACACGCTTATTTTACAGGTAAGGAAACTGAAGGCCATGTCAGCTTGCTTTTAGGGGCAGAGTGAGGCTTGAAATGTCAATTCTACAGAAACTATTTTCTCTTAAATTTTGTTTCTGAATTTGTCATTGAAATTAACACCCCAGAGAATTATGTGTGGGCCAATCAGGTATGTTTTTCCCCTCTATAAACACCTTTGAATCTGTACCTTCTCATGTTCTTTAGCCAATCAGCTCCAATATTATTCCCACTTTCTCACTGATCTTCCATTTCTTGCTACTTATTGATTCCTTCTCTTTTTCCTACAAGTATTTTTAGGTCTTCTGTATCCTTAAAAAATTCTCACTTGATACAACTATCCCCAGTAGCTACCATGTCATATCTCTCCTCCTCTTCTCAGCTAAACTCCTTAAGAAATCCAGCTTCATTAGGTGACCCCATTTTCTCTCTTCTCATTTCTTATTAACTTTTTGTAACATGACTTCTAATCTCAGCATCCAAACTGACTTTTGTAAACTCACCTTTGAGCTTAATCATAAAATTTAATGATCTTTGATCAGTCCACATCCTTCTTGTCTTCTCAACAGTACTTGACGTCGCTGTTCTCCTTCTCTTCCTAGAAAATCTCTCCTTTTATAAGATTCTGTTCTAGTTTTCTGTTCCAAAAAAATAAAAACAAAAAGAGAACTTTTCTCTTCTAATTTTCCTCCTTCATATCAGATTGCTCTTTTTTCAATTTCCTTTGTTGGATCTTCTTCCTTCTAACTCCCACTACCAGTTTGTATTCCTCTAGGTACTCTTTTGGGTAAGTCCTCCTCTCTTTTCCCTCTATTTTATCTCACTTCATGATGAAATCAGCTTCTGAGAGTCTAATTACCATTTCTAAGTGCTTTATTCAGATAGATAGATATAAGTACATACAGTAAAATAATGTGTCATATTATCGTTATCATTATTTAATACTCTGATACTTTGAGATTCAGTTTCTTTAACTAGGAAATAAATTAGATAATAACTATATTAGATAATAATTGAGTATCCTGCATGCATACTTATTATTCAAGAGTGACTGAAAGATGAGGAAAATCTGATTTATTAAATCTGGCTAAACCATTTAAGTGTCAAGGAACTTAGATGTTCTTCTTCCTACTTATGAGGCAGTCTCCAAGAGATAGACTGCATTAAACTATACATCCATATCTATATACATACGCATGTATATATGTATATGTATGCATGCATTTTGGGGGGATTACAATCAGTTATCTTTTATAGTACCCAACACAAAGTATTTCTATTCAGCTATATTTGCCCATGCTTTTCTGCACCCTCCCACTCATACAAGCATAGATACATATACACACACACACACTCACACACATACATATGAAGGCAAAAGTTATCAGTCACAGAGTTCTAGTTGAGCTACTTGTGTTTGTTCCCATTTGCACTCTGGTGAATTTTAAAATATTTTCAAATATCATTACTTCATCATGTAACACCACCAGAAAGAATAATGTATTGAAAGAAAGTAATCCAGTTTAAAGACCAGACATTAGTTAGCAATGGGAGGAAATGATGCTTTTATTATTCCACATTTCTTATGGGAAAAGTGAAATAGATATACTACTATCCTTTATTGTCTTAATTTGTTGATGAATATGATTTTCACTGCTTTTTAAATATCATTAAATATCTCTACTTATCTAGAACAGGAATTGTCAATTCTAATCCACTCACTTCCCAGTTGACTTACCTAGGGTTTTGTACTCGAGTTAACAGCAACTGATTTGAAAACAATACTTCACCTGAGATATGGAGCTAGAAATTATTAATCCAAACACTGTATTACCAGGTAATTTGACCATTTAACATTGATTCATTTAACAATTAGCATTGAACTATCAAGAGAGCTACTTTTTAGTTATGGCTTTTCAATCAAATATTTATATGACCTCAGGATTTTTCCCCTTTAATTCTCCACTTTCTTCCCTGAACTTTTTTCCTCCTCTTTATTCATCTTCTCCTTGTCTCCTTTCATCTCTTATCCTCCTCTGCCTTCTCCATCTCTTCTTTCACCTTTTTCTCTTTTTCGTTCTGCTTGCATTCCTGCTTTTGAACTCAGAGACTTTGTTTTCAAATCCTGCCTCTCTTATATCAAGGCCAAGTTCTTTTACCTCTCTGGGCCTCTCTCTCTATTTTCGTCTCTGTAAAATGAAGGTGTTGGATTGATTTACTTTTCATGTTAGTTACAGGCTTAAATACATGATCTTATGACTCCATAATCATGTTCTTCAGCTTTGTGGGAATCTCTATCCATGTTCAATAATGGAAACACCAAATCTTGGCACCTTTTCTATATCTGGCAGCTGAGAAATTTGTCTTCTTCCAAAGGTAACAATCTCTGATAGTTGAGAAGTCAATTGGTCAACAATTTGCTTCCTTAAATACCTGCATGGGTTATTCAAACAGTCATTTTTTTTAGTACAAACTTTGTGCCAGTCACCTTTCTAAATGCTTGAAATACAAAGACAAAAGTTAAATTGCCCCTGCCCTCAAAGAGATCATATTCTTGCTGGAGGATGCATTAATATCAATATATAGAAAATAGATACAACATAGATACCAGGTAATTTGAAGGGAAGGAAACAGGAGGTGGAAGGATTGGAAAATTCTTCATGGAAAA